AACACTGTAATTAGATATTAAAGTAAACTACCATGTCAGATGTGTTATAAGTAAATGAACCATGGAGGCTCTTTTAATGGTTCTCAAATGTGACTTGTTAGGGGTATGATAATTTTGGTAAATAATTCTAAATGTTATGAAAGGTTATCAGAATCTGGAATATATTAAATTACACAGTATTGTATATGTTTGTGCTTCGTTGTAACTCAAAACATAGCTTTAAAGTCTTTTAATCTTTTTAAACTCATAAGTAGTTTCATATATAAATACCTCTACTAAAACCTTTCTGCAGTATTTTAGAGGAGGTTTGTCAATCACATACTCATAGTATGGAACTACAGTAGAAAAATTTTAAATGTATTTGATTACATATCAAAAAAAATTTTTTACTTAATTTCCCACAAGCAGCAGGAAATATAAACTTGCTAGGCAACATGATTAATTCAGCATTTAAAGTAATGATTTGGACAGGCTTGTTAAAAAATAGGTTTTATTTGTAATATCAATGACAAGAGTCAGCAATTCAGTAAACTCTCATAAAACATTAATTGTGTTGTTATGAATTTTTAAGTAGTTTTCATACTAGCATCTTTGTTCTGTGTATAAAGAAATGGGTATCCATGACCTTAAACTTTATTGATAAAAATGTGACTTAACATTTAAAAGCTTGTTATAGACTTTATCTATTAATATCTTTTAGTGTTTATTTGATGAATGTTTTCCTATATATTTAGGCATTTTTATCTTTTATAATTTTGCTTTTTAACAAAATAGTTTGAATTTTCTTCACATTTCAGTTAAATGGTTTCTAAGTATTCTCATATGCATTATTTAAAAAATGTAAAAGAAAAAATTATTCTTTTTCTTTCCAGCATGATCTTGATCCAAACTCTACAGACTTCCCTAAAACCATGAGGTGTTCCATTGGAAACATCCAACAAAATGGTGCTTACCTACTTGGTGAGTAGTCTAAAGTTCATAAATATAGTTACTACAAAGTAAAACAGTTGTGACCGAGACATCTTGCTAATTCTTGTTCATTCTTTGAGATTAAACTTTATGCTATGGGTATAAGCATGAGATTTTGTATTTAAAACTTTAGTATTTCCATGGATTTACCTAAAAAGTTACTAATATTGCCTCAAAAAACAAAAATGATCAAAACTATGAGACTACTATAACTCTAATACATCATTTTCCTAGATAGTTCAGTAATACATGGGTAAGTATATTTCATTAAAATATTTTCTTTTTTAGTCAAAACATTAAATAATACAGCTTGTCCCTGTTAATTTCTTGTAGATGTACTTTGTTCCATGAAACTTTGACCAACTTCTATATTGAATCTGGACCAGAAATCTTTAGTGTTGGACTAGCTTTAATGTTTTCAAATTCCAAAACATCAGGAAGGATTAGCATTGAAATCCTTTTAATCAAAATTAAATTTTACTCAGGGACAAAAGACTTTTTTTTAAGAAATAAAAATTTGGTTTTCACATGATTAATTTTCCATCATTTTCTCAAGACATCAAAGGAATTGGCAATACAGTACAGTTTCACCTGATATATTTTTTATTATAAAATAAAGAGGAGTTATAATTTAATACATAAGACAATTATGATAACGATATTCAACTGTGAAAATGCAGAACACCCTTAGGGCCATAACCTGTTTTTGGCAACAGCTGCATTTCAATATCTTACTACTGTGAACATTTTTTGAAGTTGAAAATAAAATATTTAGTAAAAATTTTAAGGCTTGGTAAAATAGCCATGTAAAAAAAGTATTGCATTCAAATTCTAATTAATTAATACCATGTTCATTTTGTTTCTAATTTGTTAAATAAAGTAATAACCTAATGGTTTCCCTAATATTAATGCTTTCAAAGCTTAGCATGTGCACAACTTCAATAATAATAATTAGCATATTGAGAGTGTGCTTTCAAGATATCTTTATGGTTGAAATGTAACTATCATGTTTGAGGATTAATTTTTAAACAAAAAGGAACTGGATTACTAGTGAGAGTTAATGTTTGGAAATATAAATATTACAATGTTTATGAGCTCCTCATTCAGTTACTTATTTCATATTGGAAGTTATGGATTGTACTTCTTTTTTATTATTATTCATTTATTGTTGTTATTTTGATAAACAAAATGTTTTAGGTCAGTCATTTGGCCAGTTCAATTTGAGGGAAATTAAGATCTAATCACATTAATAAAATTAAATTGTAGCTACTCAGTCAGTATTCAGGCATGGTAAGGGAGTCCCAATAAAAATAATATTTTGATTAGTTTTTAAAATTTCCTAATGGTATTTGTTATGGGTCTCATGATTACCTCAAAGTGAATTTAGAAACCACATTTTTAGCTTGAAAAATAATTATTACTTATGACTGGCATATAATATATATATATATATATATAAAGACTGTTTCAGAAATGTGCCAGTAATTTTAACAGTTTTGTATTTTTTAATTTTAAGCTGTTTTTCAACTCTACAGTAAACTTCAACTAAGTTTTTCTTTCTTAGAGAATGGTATTCACATGTTCATGTGGATAGGAATGGCTATTTGTCCAGATTGGCTAAAGAATGTGCTTGGGATTGAGGCTTCAGACAGAATAAATGTAGATAAGGTAAAACACCTGTTTGAGATCAGTAATCTTTCTCTTATTTTAGTTCATTTTTTTAACTCAACTATAAAAATAATATATGCCAACCTACTGATTTTTAATTAGTTATTTTGATTCCAGTTTTGTTGTATACATTTTCATTAATAGCGTTTTACTGATTATTAATTATTTCTAATCTTAATCACATAACTCCAACACTAGTATTAAATTTTCCACAAAAATACTGAATTTTATTAGTGACTTTATTTTTTAAGAAATGTATTTATTTTGTCATATCATTTATAATCTTTTTCACAAATTGACTGAGTGTTTATTATGTCATTAGATGCAAAGTTGTTTGAAAATTGTTCTAATGTTCTTCAATTGATATTTTCAGATTTCCTTACCTCAACTGAATACACCTCTGTCTCTACGTATCCATGATATCATTGAATCTATTAGAAAAGAACGTCAAAGATGCATGAGAGTATGCAATTTACTGTATTAACTTACATAAAGATGACGAGTTAAAAATATCAGTTTTTTTTAAAGTCAGATAAATTAAATGCATGATTAAGCATTATTCCTACTGTTAATAGAGAGAGATATGACAAAGATGCATGCAGTTATGTGATTTTCTGTATTAACTGAGAGATAGATGATGAGTAAACATTTTTCAGTACTTGCAGTCATGCAAGAGTAAGACTTGCTTCTCTCATGTGCCAACAGAAAACTATAATAAGGTTTTTATTCAGACCATAAATTTCTATCTCGCTGTTTTTTTGTAATTTGTTATGCAAAATTATGGCTTGCACATAATTATGTACCTTAAAAATATGCTTAGTTTGTTATCTGAACAAACTGAAATGATAAGTCATTGGATTGACTTAGATGATTTTACTAATAAACAAACAAATAGAAGTATTGTTAAGACATTTAAATGTTTTTCTGTCAGCTAGAAGAACAGTGTACTTTCTCTTAATCATAATTTATATCACCTGAACCTTAATCTTAAATATAAAAGCAAGTCATTGTTAGCATAATTTGGAAGGTATAAAACTTTTTTGTTTGAGTTTAACTTATTTAAATCATATAATTATGGTGAAAGGAATTAAGTTTTTTTTTGTTCTTTTCATGAAGTGTATATGCCAACCACGGTTTTCATAGTAAAACATTGTGCTCATTGTTCATCTATAGATACATTATTTTTTCTACCGTCTTCTCTCATATTGTAAAAAATATTCGAGTTGATACAATTATGCATTTTATTTTCTCTAATAGTTGATGATTGTTTGCCAAGGAGATAAATTGGAATTAATTTTTCGACGGTACTTGATGGAAGACCATGGAACTGATGGAAGTACCTCTTATGTTGACTTCTTCTGTCACTTACACAAAGAAATTCAGAAGTTGTTATCTTGATGAGAATGTCTGTAGAAATCTGTTGTTCATACTTTCATTGTAGATTGGATATTTTTTATACATAAATAAATATATTGTATACATACATACATACATACATACATACATACATACATACATACATATATATATACACATATACATATAAAAGTGTGTGTGTGTGTGTGTGTGTGTGTGT